GACTGTGAGCTCCAAGGGGAGGGCCACCTAGTTTATACCCACATAACTATGCAATTTAAAAGAGTTTATCTTTTTTCGCAAAGGGTTTGCCGCCAGGATACAGGTGTCGTGAAAACCACCGCTAAACCTAAGCAAAAATGGGAAAGGAGAAGACGCACATCAACATCGTTGTCATCGGAAACGTAGATTTGGGGAAGTCCACCCCTACTGGCCATCTGATCTACAAATGTGGTGGGATCGACGAGAGAACCATTGAAAAGTTCGAGAAGGAGGCTGCCGAGATGGGGAAGGGCTCCTTCAAGTATGCCTGGGTCTTGGACAAACTGAAAGCTGAACGCGAGCATGGTATCACCGTTGATATCTCCCTATGGAAGTTTGAGAGCAGCAAGTACTATGTGACCATCATTGATGCCCCAGGACACAGAGACTTCATCAAAAACATGATTACAGGCACATCCCAGGCTGACTGTGCTGTCCTGATTGTTGCTGCTGGTGTTGGTGAATTTGAAGCAGGTATTTCCAAGAATGGGCAGACCCGTGAGCAGGCCCTTCTGGCCTACACTCTGGGTGTGAAACAACTAATTGCTGGAGTTAACAAAATGGATTCCACCGAGCCACCCTACAGCCAGAAGAGATACGAGGAAATTGTAAAGGAAGTCGGCACCTACATTAAGAAAGTTGGCTACAACCCCAACACAGTAGCATTTGTGCCAATTTCTGGCTGGAACGGTGAAAACATGCTGGAGCCAAGTGCTAACGTGCCGTGGTTCAAGGGATGGAGAGTCACCCGTAAGGATGGCAATGCCAGTGGAACCACACTGCTTGAAGCTCTGGATTGCATCCTGCCACCAACTCACCCAACTGACAGACCCTTGCGTTTGCCACTCCAGGACGTCTACAAAATTGGTGGTATTGGCACTGTCCCTGTGGGTCGAGTGGAGACTGGTGTTCTCAAACCTGGCATGGTGGTCACCTTTACTCCAGTCAATGTGACAACTGAAGTGAAGTCTGTTGAAATGCACCATGAAGCTTTGAGTGAAGCCCTTCCTGGGGACAATGTGGGCTTCAATGTCAAGAACGTGTCTGTCAAAGTTGTTCGTCGTGGCAATGTGGCTGGTGACAGCAAAAATGACCCACCGATGGAAGCAGCTGGCTTCACAGCTCAGGTGATTATCTTGAAGCATCCAGGACAAATCAGTGCTGGCTATGCACCTGTGCTGGATTGTCACACAGCTCACATTGCCTGCACGTTTGCTGAGCTGAAGGAGAAGATTGATCGTCATTCTGGGAAAAAGCTGGAAGATGGCCCCAAATTCTTGAAATCTGGTGATGCTGCCATCGTTAATATGGTTCCTGGCAAACCCTTGTGTGTTGAGAGCTTCTCTGACTATCCTCCTCTGGGCCGCTTTGCTGTTCATGACATGAGACAGACGGCTGCTGTGGGTGTCATCAAAGCAGTGGACAAGAAGGCAGCCGGAGGTGGCAAGGTCACCAAGTCTGCCCAGAAAGCTCAGAAGGCTAAATGAATATTATCCCCAATACCTGCCACCCCAGTCTTAATCAGTGGTGGAAGAACGGTCTCAGAACTGTTTGTCTCAATTGGCCATTTAAGTTTAATAGCAAAAGACTGGTTAATGATAACAATGCATCGTAAAACCTTCAAAAGGAAAGGAGAATGTGTTGTGGACCATTTGTTTTGTGTGTGGCGGTTTTAAGTTATTAGTTTTTAAAATCAGTACTTTTTAATGGAAACAACTTGACCAAAAATCTGTCACAGAATTTGAGACCCATTAAAAAAGTTTAATGAGGAATAAATAAATAAATAAATAAATATGTTGGTAAAATATTGGAGATTTTAGATCAGGAGTCACCAACCCCTGGACCATGGACCAGTACTGGTCCGTGGCCTGTTAGGAACCGGGCCGCACAGCAGGAGGTGAGCAGCGGGTGAGCTGATAGAAGAAAGCTTCATGTGTATTTACAGCTGCTCCCCATCACTCGCATTACTGCCTGAGCCCCGCCTCCTGTCAGATGAGCGGCAGAATTAGATTCTCATAGGAGCGCAAATCCTACTGTGAACTGCACATGTGAGGGATCTAGCTTGCGAGCTCCTTATGAGAATCTAACGCCTGATGATCTGAGGTGGAGCTGAGGTAGTGATGCTAGTGCTGGGGAGCGGCTGGAAACACAGATTATCATTAGCAGAGAGGTTTGACTGCACAGAGACCATAGTAAATCAACTGCTTGCAGACTCACATCAAAACCCTATCAGTGAGTGGCAAGCGACGACAATTAAGCTGCATCTGGTGGCAGGCTTTAAGTCAGAATCCGACACTTATTTTAGTCTGCGCTTGGCCCACCCATTATTTTATTTACCACTTCCATCTGCGCCTCTTTCCGGCACTGCACACTTGTCTCAGTCACAGTTTTGGTAAGCCCACAAGCTAACCCTACGCAAAATGTGTAAAAAACAAACATCACTGGAGAGCTTCTTTGAAAAGGGAGAAAGACCCAATGATGAGACAGCAGAAGACTCTAAGACTGCCAACAAAAAGAAAGCTGCATTTAAAAGAAAATACCAAGTCCTACTGAAATTACAGGTTCATTGCAACAGGTGATTCACATTCTCCAAGCCAGCTTTGTATAATATGTGGCGACCGGCTATCCAAGGAAGCCGTGAAACCTTCAAAACTGCTTCACCACATGGAGGTCAAGCATCCTGCATTAAAAGACAAGCCTGTGGAGTTTTTCAAAAGAAAAAAGTGTGAACACAAATCACAGAAGCAATTATTGAAGTTCATCAAATGTGTCTGCCCTGAAAGCATCATTCTTAGTGGCTAACCACATTGCTAAAGCTAAGAAGCCCTTTACTATTGGTGAAGAGTTGACCCTGCCTGCTGCTAAGGACATTTGTCATGAACTTTTAGGAGAGGCTGCAGTTCAAAAGATGACACGTATTCCTCTTTTGGCTAGCACCGTAACTAGATGAATTGATGAAATAGCAGAGGATATTGAGGCACAATTGTTAGGATTAATGAGTCACTGTGGTACACGATCCAGGTTGACAAGTCTACTGATGTTGACAACAAGGCAACAATGCTTGTTTTTGTGTAATCTATTTTTCAGGAGGATGTGCATGAGGATATGTTATGTGCACTTTTGTTACCAACACCACAGCTGCAGAACTATTCAAGTCTTTGAATGATTACATATCAGGAAAACTGAATTGGTCATTTTGTGTCTGTATATGCATGGACGGAGCTGCTGCCATGACTTCACAGCCTTCTGGTTTCACTACTCGGGTCAAAGAGGTCGCTTCTGAATGTGAGTCTATGCACTGTGTCATCCATAGAGGAATGCTGGCTAGCTGGAAAATGTCACCTGAACTTAACAACGTTTTGCAGGATGTGATTAAAATTATCAACCACATTAAAGTACATGCCCTTAACTCATGTCTGTTCATGCAGCTCTGTGAGGAGAAGGACGTAGAGCACACACGTCTTCTCTTACACACAGAAGTGAGATGGCTTTCTGGAGGTAGATCACTGGCCAGAGTTTCTGAGTTACGAGAGCGGCTCCAGAGATTTCTTTTAGAAAAACAGTCACCCCTGGCAGCACATTTCAGTGACACAGATGGGTCGCAAAACTTGCTTACTTGTGTGACACATTCAACCTGCTCAACAAACTCAACCTGTCACGTCAGGGGAGAACAACAACTGTGTTCAAATCAGCAGATAATGTGGCTGCATTCAAAGCCAAACTGGAATTATGGGGGCGATGAGTGAACATTGGGATTTTTGACATGTTTCAAACATTAGCAGAGATTTTGAGAGACTGAACCAGGGCCTTCTTTCTTCTAGCTGGTGCATGATCACTCTTCTCAGCTTTCAAGAGTTTGAGCATTACTTCCCAACCACAAAAGACCCCTGAACTGGGAAGGAATGGATCTGAGACCCATTTGTGAATAAGCCAGGTGAATCAACTTTGTCCGTGCTAGAAGAGGATCAGCTGCTTGAGATCGCAAATGACGGTGCCCTTAAAATTATGTTTGAGACAACTTCAAATCTCCATACGCTCTGGATTAAAGTCAAGGTGGAATATCCTGAGATTGCCACAAAAGCACTGAAAAGCCTGCTTGCATTTCCAACATCCTGTCTTTGTGAAGCAGGGTTTTCTGCAGTGATAGCAACCAAAACGAGATCACAGAGGAGACTGGACATTAGCAACACACTTGGGGTGTCACTGTCTCCCATCCCCCCAGATGGGACCATCTAGTTGCAGGAAAACAAGCTCAGGACTCCCACTGATTCTGCATTATGGTGAGTTGTATAATTATTTCATTATATATTACAATGTAATAATAATAGAAATAAAGTACACAATGAATGCAATGCACTTGGATCATCCTGAAACCACCGCCACACCCCTTCCGTGGAAAAATTGTCTTCTACAAAACTGGCCCCTGGTGCCAAAAATGTTGGGGACCGCTGTTTTAGATGACGTGTGGACAAATTACTAAGCAGGCAAAGTGTAAATGTGATACAGTTCGAGTGCTCAGATACGTTGAATGCTTTAAGTCTTCAGGGAACAGTAATCATTAAGCAGAAGGTTGAGTAGATAAAGTGTTAAAGAGAACCCTGCAGTTGAGCGGCGAAAATAGTCGAGCTTCTATAAGGGAGGTGGCAGGTGTCCAGGAGAGTCCGGGGTCAGCTCTCCCACACTTCAGCCTCTCAGCTGAGGCTAAAGACATGCGTGGCCAGCCCTTTTCCCATTTAGCGACACCTACAGCTCTCGCCCACCACCGCGACCCATCTCCACGAGTGAACACCAAGTTCTAGCAGCCTGCTTAGCAAACGAAGCGGGGAGAACAGCGGGGAGGAGCTAGCTCTGCGCATGCTCTTTGTGGGCGGGGGCGGGGGGACGGCAGGCAGATTGCGCCTGCGCGCTGCGTCGATCAGACGCCTCGGCTTCCGCGCCGGGATACCCGGCTGGGGTTCGCTGGCGGGATGGTGTCGCGGTGCCAGGTAAGAATGGGGAAGCCCTCCGGGCTTGTGTTTGTCCTCGCCTTTTCCCTCCACAGACCCGGTCCTGCTCGGCCAGACCCCGGCGACCGCCACCGCCGCGGTAGGCCCTCCCGACTTCGGAGGCTTTGCTCTGGTCTCCCCAACGAAAGTCAAGTCCATTCCGCGAACGCTTGTTCTGCAGGTGACGGCCTGGAAGACCAGCTGGTTTCTAAATCACCCTTGATATTTGCCCTTGCTTCTCAGATTGTTCGTTTCTAAGAAGACAAGTTTTCAATATAGAAAGAAATGCCCTTAACTAAGAATTCTTTGATGAAATGTGCTCAATCTGTGCATTTGCGAACCCTTGATTATTTGCAGACCTCTGATTATTTCGTAGAGAATGATTTGCTTTCATTCACAGGTGGGTTATTTTACTTGGTCGGATCCCTTAGATACCAGGCTGTCTGCATAGGTTTGTCCTAGGAAATAGAAGTTTATCCTGTACTTCAGACTCATCTGCCTTTGTAAATATCAGGGTTTGTATGTTGCGTAACTTAATCCTGGACAGCTGGGTTCAATGTAATGTAGACTGGAATCAAAGGTCATATGACAACCGTGAAGGACGTGTCTTTCATTTATTTGCTCATTTATTTGTGTAATTCATCTCTTGATTCAGACATTTGTTCACTGCTTAAGTATAAAGGGTGCTATAATTTTATGTCAGTTAAAGGCCAACCTCATGGTTTCTAAGAAGATATTGTTAGGATTTTAGTTGTGGCACACATAACATTTATAAAACTAAAAAGCATCTGGAAATTAGTCTGACTTGTACTTAAAACATAAAAATTTTTCAAAATTTGAGCTTGTAGGTATGCTGAAATTTTTATAGGCACTTTAAATTTTTTCTAATTTATAAAAAGTGTCTTTGATTAAAGTAATACATTTGAAAAACAAAACCCAGCGTGGACAGTCAGAAAAGGACTGTGGGTTGTTATTGTTAAAAACATATTCTTTCTTTTCAGGTGGAAGTGTTGTATTTTGCAGAAAGTGCTGAAATAACAGGAATTCGCTCAGAGACCATTTCTGTGCCACAAGAAATAAAAGCATTGCAGCTGTGGAATGAGATAGAAACGCGCCATCCTGGGTAGTTAAAAATTTGCAGAATGTATATGATTAACACTATTTAATATTTTAAAATGTGTGAGTAAATGATAAAAGTAAAAAGTTAACTTAGATTTCCATGTTTAATGTCAAAAGGATCATTAGTTGTATTTTTTCCTGAAAACTTAAGTTCTAGTATTTAAAAATGCAAAATTCCTTAATAAAGGTTAAAGATATTTTACTTAAAAAGCACAGTGAGCTGTGATACTCCCAAAGGGACATGATTATATTTGGTTTTATAATTTACAAAATACTGAAAATGTAGATTCTGCATTTTTGTAACATTAAATGAAATTATTACGTATTCTGTTAAAAGTGTGTGCTTTAAACTTTGATGTCCTGCCCCTTCTTTAGAGAACTCAAAATAGAAATTTTTAAGATTGAAAGAAAAATGAAAGATAACGAACAGCTGCTGCTGAATTTGAGTTTTTACAATATTTGATTTTTTTTCTGGTTCTTGAAAGTGTATCATTTTACTGCTGTTCGTACCTCAATGAGTCTTTTTTGAAACAAAATATAAAAGTGTCCTGTTTGAACGTGTTCAAGGTATATTAGTAGTGTCACTTAAATTGTGTGAATGTTTAACTTGGAAGTCTTAGTGCTGGGTAAAAGACAGCCCACAATGTATGTTCATAAAGAAAATTATTCCTTCTTGATTTCATATCTTTTTAAGTTCTTAAAATGCCCTGATAATCAATGAAACGTAGTGGGGCCTCTTCCTACTTTACCTTTAACGTTATACCTGAGAGGCACCTGGTGTTTTGGAACCTTTCAGGGTATACTTAGTATACTTGTATGCTTAGATGGAAAGCTCCTGGGGAGGGCATGTACTGATTAAGAAATTGTCCTTTTTTTTTTTTTCTGACCTGGTCTGAATGTTGTCTCCAGTCTAGTGTTTTTTTGTTTGTTTCTTTAATTCCCCAAGACACCCAACATCCAGTAAAGAGTTGTTAGCAGTTTACTGCATTCTTTGTGGTGAATAAGTATGTTCTTCAGTGGATATATCCTTTCTCTGCAAAATATGAGTTTAATTAGTGATTTTGCAGCTAAAGTAATATTTATGTAATTTTGATTGCAGCTGAGGAGATTTGGGGTCTAACAGCATTGATACATCTAATTATACCTTTTTCCCTTCAGATTGGCTGACATCAGAAATCAGGTGATATTTGCTGTTCGTCAAGAATATGTCGAGCTTGGACATCAGCTCCTCCTGCTTCAATCAGGAGACGAAATTGCCATTATCCCCCCCATTAGTGGAGGATAGTGCTTTTGAGCCACCTGGGTATGTGAGATAGGTTTTTCTTAGCCAGTCTTGTGGGGAAGGATCATACAGATAATAACTTATATATGGTTTCCTTTAACTGTATACTCTTTGTCAGGCTGTCTGCACCAACTCTTGGTAAAGCAGCAACTCTTTATTGGCGCAGATGGACTTATAAATACCTATCATCTCTGCATCAGTTGTGTTGTAAGCAGTTTAATGTCCTCTTGATTTGTTCATTCTATTGATTTAACATGGTTTATTGAGATTTTGTGTCAGGCACAGCGCTAGACACTGGAGTTTTAATACTCCTATTTTGCAGGAGGGAGAAGTTAAGAAACTTGTCTAAGATCACATAGCTAATAAGTGGCAGAGCCAACATTTGAACTCAGATTATTATTGGACTCTCTGTGTAGTTTTCCACAAATATGCTTATTAATACTGGATAATAGCTCTCCTGGGCACAGAGAAATGTAGAAAAATTGCATAGCTGGAAAGTAAAAAGATCACTCTTCCTGAAAAACGCTTACCATTTTCCAGGTATAAAAAAACAGCTTTATTATTATAGTTATATTGCTAGTGGCTCTAGGACCCATGTCATCTTTCCATCTTTCCAAATAAAGTAAGCCATGTCTGAGTAGGATAATGTGTAAGAGCATTTCTGTTTTTTTAAATTTAACCCATTATTATTTTTATTTATTTTTTTTAACATCTTTATTGGAGTATAATTGCTTTACAATGGTGTGTTAGTTTCTGCTTTATAACAAAGTGAATCAGCTCTACGTATACATATATTCCCATATCTCCTCCCTCTTGCATCTCCCTCCCACCCTCCCTACCCCACCCCACTAGGTGGTCACAAAGCACCGAGCTCATCTCCCTGTGCTATGTGGCTGCTTCCCACTAGCTATCTATTTTACATTTGGTAGTGTATATATGTCCATGCCACTCTCTCACTTTGTCCCAGCTTACCCTTCCCCCTCCCCGTGTCCTCAAGTCCATTGTGTATGTCTGCATCTTTATTCCTGTCCTGCCCTTAGGTTCTTCAGAACCTTTTTTTTTTTTTTTTTTAGATTCCCTATATATGTTTTAGCATATGGTATTTGTTTTTCTCTTTCTGACTTACTTCCCTCTGTATGATAGACTCTAGGTCCATCCACCTCACTCCAAATAACTCAATTTCGTTTTTTTTCCTATGGCTGAGTAATATTCCATTGTATATATGTACCATATCTTCTTTATCCATTCATCCAATGATGGACACTTAGGTTGCTTCCATGTCCTGGCTATTGTAAATAGAGCTGCAATGAACATTGTGGTACATGACTCTTTTTGAATTATGGTTTTCTCAGGGTATATGCCCAGTAGTCGGATTGCTGGGTTGTATGGTAGTTCTATTTTTAGTTTTTTAAGGCTCCTCCATACTGAGGAACATTTCTTAGTATGGTCTGGAGAGGCAGACAGAATGAGGCTTAATTTGTCAACTGAGAAATAAATAATGTAGAAATTAATAATCATCCCTAATTGAAAACTCTTATAAGTTAGGAATGAAAGAAAACTTCCTTAATTTGATAGTGTTTTTCTCCAAAATCAAGTAAATATAATATTGGATGACAAAACTTCGGTTTTATTAAAGAAAAGAACAAGCCAAGGATGCTTACTTATTTTTTTCACCCACTTCTTCCCCACTCTTCTGGAGGGTAGTGCCTCAGAAGTGAAGAATAAATATTGTAAAGCCAACTGCCTGGCATTGATAGAGGTTGGATTTTCTTAGTCCTGTTATTTGGAAATAATAGAATTCTCCATTAGATATGTATCTCAGTTTTATTTGGAAACTGTGGTCACCATATCACCACCATGATATAGAAAAATACTATTGTTTTTGATCTTGTAATTTATTCAGAAAACAATGGGCTGCCATAGGTGTGTGTTTGTGTGTGATGGTTAGAGCTGTTCTTTGGGAAGACTAGGAAGATACTCAGCAACATTGTGTATGATTTGAGTGTGTTTGACAGGGTTTGTAACATGCAGTTTTAGAATCTATGTTATTATAGAATCAAGTTGTGGGAACTCAGTGTGGTCTGAAGTTCATAGACGATGTTTGGGTTACCTATATTGTATTGCAAGATGAATTGGAAGAAGCTCAGGTGACATGTACAGGAGGTTGAAGCATCTTGGAATCCAGTAGCATCTGAATGGTTTTTTTTCAGTAGCATGGTCCTCTTATCTTAAACACACCTTCCCCAGCCCCCATGCTCTGTCTTAGAACGCTGTTTGTTTCCATAAGTTATCCCTATTTATAATTCCTATTTATTGCTTTGTTCCTCCTCTAGCATAAGTGCCTGAGCACAGGAGCCAGGTCTTTTGTTCCCTGGTCTGTATCCAGTGTGTGGGCTTAGTCTCTGACCCTTAGTGAGTACGAAATAAACGCTTGATGAATGAAATGAGAAATGCATGGCAAAGGACTTCTACAGCATCTGGTGAATAGGCGTGCAGTCAGTTCCTTTATTTCCTCAGTTACTTAACTGAGGTTGTGCCTGATTATGAAATGAACCCAGTTCCTGTGGAGTCATCATTCTGCTTGCCCTCCTTTTTTGGGTAAAGAAAAAGGCAGTTCTGGGTGTGGTGCTTGGTAATCCAGTGGTTAGAGGTGATGTGTGTGTGGATGCAGGAGATAAGAGTAGCAATTCCAGAGTTTGGAATATGTTGGCAAATGAAATAGATTTCATTTTAAGTGATCATGTTAATGGTAAGTTCCTTTTTATATCATGCTTGATTCGTTAGGGATATTTGTAAAATTCCTGAGTTTTGCTCAAACTTTACACTTGCTTATTTTTATCATTCAGATCAAATCATGCCTCCTAACGCATCTAATGTAGAAAAAATATATAAATTGAAACATAGCCTATAAGTTGGGTGTTTTTACTCTAGTACCAATGTTAAGGTTTGGTAATATTTTATTTCCAGGAAAGATATAAATGAAGTTGAAGAGAAATCAAAAGATATAATAAAATTCACATCTGAGCAACTTTCAGTAGATGAAGTCTCACAGCTGGTGATTTCTCCATTCTGTGGTGCAATATCCCTATTTGTAGGTGAGTTGTAATTTTCATAGCATCTATTGACTATACAGGACAGTAGAAATTAGCAGATGTTTCTCATGTTCAGTGTTAATAGTAAGAGGATTTTAAGATACGGAGCAGTTAGCCAAGATTACCCATGGTGGTGAGTAGAAATTTTTTTAGTTCTTGTTTTGTGTTAGTAATCTTCAAATTAACATATGTTAAATGCCAAAAAAAAAAAAAAAGTAGACTACAAGTCATTATTAGCAGAGAGAATTCTGGTAATCCTGGGAACATAATATTTTCCTTTTAAGGGTCAAATTCTAATTGTTACAAAGGGAATATATACTGGTTTGTCATTTGAATGTTTTCAGTAAACCTGGCTAATCAGTGTCATTTTATTTCCTCATCTTTGTGATGATTATCTTGATTTTCTAATCAAGTTTTTGTGTTTAGAAAATTTCAAAGTAATTTTTATACAAATTGGTATGCTACTTGTCTATTCAAAAATAATCCTTTTTTATTCTATTAGTGTGCTTTTTCTACTGTAGGAAGAAAGCTTATTTTGTAATTTTTTTTTTAATTTTAGGAACTACAAGGAATAACTTCGAAGGGAAAAAAGTCATTAGCTTAGAGTATGAAGCATATCTACCAATGGCAGAAAATGAAGTCAGAAAAATTTGTAGTGACATTAGAAAGAAGTGGCCAGTCAAACACATAGCAGTGTTCCATCGGCTTGGGTATGATTTCCTTTATCAGTTTAAAAGTTTAAGTGTAGTCGTTTTCCGCCTTTGCACTAATTCTGATTCTGGAATCCTTCATTGGCATCCTGTGTTACCCTGAGAGGGAGGTTTGTTTATCATTCTGGCAGACAGTGCCTTTAAGGCTGCTTGTTACATTGTAACATTTGGAGAATGGCTGATGCTGTAACAAAGTCCAAATGTGCAAGATTCTTTGGCCCTGTGCCCAACAGCCTGTGCTGATGTGTGTTCAAGGCCATGAGACCTTTTCAGAACTGTTTTGTAGTCTGTACCCTGTTTATATGACAGTCTGAGATTGTTTTGATGTAAAAGCCTTTTAAGGTCATTAGATTAGTTTGCTGTTTTGTATCACTAAGAAGAGTGGAGTTCCAGGCTTTGAAAAGAACCCAGCAATGGGACTAAATCTATCATCTATTAGTTATTGGTAACTATAATTTTATTAATGTTATCAATTCTGTTATTTACTATTCATTGCTATTTAATACTTTAAATTCTACCTTATATTCATCATGCGATTAGCTTGTATTTCTAGGCATTACCTGGCACTGTGCCTTGTTTGTTTGATGAGATATTTGTTGAATCAGTGAGGTACTTTTCATCTTGTTGCCCATTCGATAAATTTAGTGGATACATACTTACAGATTAGTCACAAGCTTGGCACTTCCTGCTAAATGCAACTGGGATGAATTACTGTTTTCTAACTAAATGCGGTGTTTAGGTAAAACAGAACTGGATATTTAGCTCTAGGAATGCTTCCCTGGAATTTTTTTTTTTTTTCACATGTCTAGTAGATTTCTTAACATGTACCTTCAGAGGAGATGATGAATTTTTTCCTTCATTTTGTTAAAGCTTAGTTCCAGTGTCAGAAGCAAGCATTATCATTGCTGTGTCCTCAGCCCATAGGACTGCCTCCCTCGAAGCTGTGAGCTATGCCATTGATACTTTAAAAGCCAAGGTGCCCATATGGAAAAAGGTAAGTTAGGAAAATATCTAATTTTGTCTTTGGACATGATTTTTCTTAGGAATTTTTAAAGAACAAGGAAGAAGAGTACATACAGAGTATGTACTTCCCTGACTTTATAGAATCTTGTTTTCTTTTTCTAGGAAATAGGATGTTTATGTAATAATCTCCTTTCCAGGGTTTATTAAGCATGAAAAATATGTGCCCCAAAGAATGCATGGCCTGGAGAAGACCTCAACAAGTGGTAACAGTTAGAATTCCTAGTCTAGAACGTTCCAGGTGTTCATATATGAAGTATTATCCCTTATATTAGAATTCCCTTGAGTTAGAGGGTCTTTCCTTTGGAGAGCAGGAATAATGCATGGCTATGTAGTCACTGGCTAAAATAGAGACTTCTCAAGGCAAGAGAGCCTTCTCCTAGAACTCCTTCATTTTAGGAAAAGAAAAGTGGGATATTGCCTCCTTGGAGAAAATGCATAGTAAGTGCACTTAAAAAACCTAAGTAGGAAATTCTAGCTTGTTTTCCATCCATACATCAAACCCATCAATAAAAGCAAACAAGTCCCTGCTTAAATAGAGCATTCTGAAGATAGGAAAAGGCCCAGCTCCTTGATTTCTCCCTTGGTGTAGTAACCTCAACAGTGGGATCACTCTGTATTCTCAGAAATGTGTAATTACACTTAAGAGCCTCAAATTGCCCACAGCATTGTGGCTGATAGCAAAGCTGAGGAATGGATTCACTGCCCAGTACAGCAGAAGGCCAGAGTGAAGGACCAGTGGTGAAATGAGCAAATTGGACTCTGAACCAGCACCTGTGAAATTTAGTGACCATATTTTCTGGATAAAAACTGAAACCCATTGTTATAAGGGGATACTTAGGGATTAGAGGATAGGATATGTGAAAGGAATCTGTCTTAGTGAAGCTCAGATATCTGGTTGCTTTGCTGTGAACAAGGCTGCCACAATTTTGATAGACCATGAGACCCTGGAGAGAGCAAGGTAGGAAAAGTATTCCAGAATGAATTGTGAGCCTGGCTGGAAGAGATTCTTTGCCTTGGAGCAAAGAATGGACAGCCAGCTGACAAAGTAGATGAGACGGTAGGCCCCCCAAATAAGGGAGCGGGTAGGAGTTGGGGGTATACCCATTGTGATGCTTCAAGAACTGGCTGGGCTTTCTATTTACTTCTCTGTGTGTAGAGGGTGGGAGGGTGTACAGGTGTTCAGAGGATAATTGAATTTGGATTTCTACCCCTGCAGAAATAGAACCTGACTAGAGAGTGAGAAGAGAAAGTGATATATTCTTATTCCCCTTCTGTCCAAAAATTATCTGAATTCTAGTCTGGTTCTGGTTTCAGCCTGTGCTTTGAGATCATCTGTGATACAGGCAAGGGATGGGCAGGTGGGTAGGGCACGCACTTACAGGGTGTTTGCCGACAGCATGCAGCTCAGACCTGTTTAGGAACCTTTGGGGTGGTCTGTTAATTTCAAAGCTAATGGAAATATCCCTTTGGCCTTTGGAAACGCATATTTAGAAATGTGGAAGTAGTAGGTGTGTCTGGAAAGAAAAAAGAGTTGAAAGACCTTCCATCTTCCATACATAACCTTGCCCAGGCTGTCTCCTGTCATGATCCCAAGTGGAATTAATTGTTTATTCCTTTCTGTGTTTGCCCCTTGTCTTGTTAAGGCTTCTTGTCTGTCGTTTCTCCTACTTGACTGAGTCCTTGAGTGTAGGGAGCACGTTTATTCGTTTGTTTGCTCTTAGTGCCTTATGCAAATGGCCATCGGATTGTTAAAAGAGGAGCAGATGTAAATAGTTGTGATATTCATTTGCCTGATGTATTCAGATATATTTGCGTTTATTAAAATGCTCTCCTTTAAATTCTTACTATCGTTCTGCTTTTTAGGAAATGTATGAAGAATCATCATCTTGGAAAAGAAACAAAGAATGCTTCTGGGCAACCAGTGATTAAACCACTCAGGCTTCTAGAGTCTTAAAATTTAAACTTGGTAAATTCTTTGATCATGTTTTGAGTTCTCTTCTCCAGAAGATAGTTTACTGAACATAAACTCGTATGTTACACCAGTGGAACAAGAGAGAAAAAAATAAATAAATGAGTGTTTAGGATGAGGGCTTCTTCGGGAACTAGAGATAGAGGAAAGAAAGGCTTTAGGGAAAAAAATGGAAGAATAATTTAAATTTAAGGAAAGATGCCTGTGGTAGACATATTATTCTATGACTAAGCTCTAACTGTAACTTGACTCACATTGAGGTGTGGCCTCTCCTCAGTGACTGTCTCAGAGGCTGCCCCCAACCCCCTACCCCTATGCCCAGTGATATCATTGGTGTCAGGGATGAGTTTTGGGAATGTAGGCAGAACTGGAAGGTGTAAAAAGTCCTTATCGGTTACTCTTGGTATGGTATATTTTTAGAATTTATATATTTTTAAAATAAGCTAAATAAACATGATTTTAAAAGTTTAAAAGCAATATCCTGTTTTTAAAAATTCAGTGATAATACCTAAGGTATTTCATCATATGAAGCTTTCTAGTATTTCAGAATCAATAATCTCACCATAATACTTATTATATTTTATTAGTTATTAGTATTGTATCAATATATAAATTAGCATTAAATTGTAAAACAAGGCAGACTAGCAGCAAGGGTGCTTTGTGTTATAATGTTAGTTATAAAATTGTACCCACAACCAATTAAAAGGGGAAATTATATTATTTGGTAAAGTATTTTCAGATAGTTTTTTTTAGCTTAAGCAACATTATCATTAATAAAGTTATGTTTTCTGCAAAATCTTTATACTAAATAATGGTCCAGTTTTTGCTTGTTCGACCTATATACTGTCTTGGTAGATCTTAGTATATAAGTTCCATATAGTTCTTTTTTTTTAATTGAAGTATTGTTGACTTATAATATTTTGTTAGTTTTATGTGTACAGCATAGTGATTTGGGGGTTTTTGCATATTATATTCCATTATAGGTTATTACAAGATTTTGGTATAATTCCCTATGCTATACAGTAAATCCTTGTTTCTTATCTGTTTTATGTGTAGTAGTTCGTATCTGTTAATCCCATACTCGTAATTTGTCCTTCCCCTTCATCCTCTCCCCTTTGGTAAACATAAGTTTGTTTTCTATGTCTGTGAGTGTTTCTGTTTTGTATATAGATTCATTTGTGTTATTTTTTTAGATTCCACATATAAGTGATATCATATAGCATTTGTCTTTCTCTGTCTGACTTATTTCACTAAGCATAAGATTCCATAAATCCATCCATGTTGCTGCAAATGGTGATTTTGTTTTTTGTGTGTGGTGAGTAGTATTCCATTGTATGTGTATGTGTGTATATGTCACATCTTCTTAAGCCAGTCATCTGTTGGGTTGCTTCCCTGTCTTGGCTATTATGTAATAAATAGTGCTGCTGTGAACATTGTGGTGCATGTATCTTTTCGAATTAGAGTTTTCATGTTTTCTGGATATATACCCAGGAGTGGAATTGCTCAATCACGTGGTACTTCTATTTTTAGTTTTTTTAAAGGAACCTCCATACTGTTTTCCATAGTGGCTGCACCAGTTTACATTACCACCAACAGTGTTCAAGCGTTCCTCTTTCTCCACATCCTCTCCAGTATTTATTATTTGTAGACTGTTCGATGATAGCCATTCTGACTGTGATAACTCAGTGAGGTGATACCTCATTGTGGTTTTGATTTGCATTTCTTTAATAATTAATGGTATTTCATGTGCTTGTTAGTCATCTGTATGTCTTCTTTGGAAAAATGTCTGTTTGGGTCTTCTGCCCAATTTTTGATTGGGTCATTTGTTTTTTCAATATTATATGAGCTGTTTATAAATATACTTTTGATATTAACCCCTTGTCAGTTGCATCATTGCAAATATTTTCTCCCATTACGTAGGTTTTCATTTTGTTGATGGTTTCCTTTGTTGTGCAAGAGCTTTTAACTTTCATTAGGTCCCATTTGTTTATTTTTATTTCTTTTGCCTTGGGAGACCTAAGAAAATAATTGCTGAGATTTATGTCAAAAAATATTTTGCCTATGTTTTCTTTTAGGAGTTTTATGGTGTCATGTCGTATATTTAGGTCTTTAAACCATTTTGAGTTTATTTTTGTATATGGTGTGAGGGAATATTCTAATTTCATTGTTTTACATATAGCTGTCCAGCTTTTGCAACACCACTTGTTGAAGAGATTGTCTTTTCTCTATTGTACATTCTTGTCTCCTTTGTTGTGGATTAACTGACCATAGGTGTGTGGGTTTATTTCTGTGCTCTCTATTTTGTTCCATTGATCTATGTGTGTGTATTTGTGCCAGTACCATGCTGTTTTGAGTACTGTAGCTTTGTAGTATAGTCTGAAGTCTGGAAGGGTTATACCTCCAGCTTTGTTCTTTTTTCTCAGGATTGCTTTAGCAGTTCTGGGTCTTTTGTGGTTTCTTATAAATTTTAGGGTTTTTTTGTTCTAATTCTGTGAAAAATGTCACGGGTATTTTGATAGGGATTGCACTAAATCTGTAGATTGCTTTGAATGATTTTTTTTTTTTTTTTGTATTTCTGTGGTATCAGTTGTTACTTCTCCTCTTTCATTTATTATTTTGTTTGTTTGAGTCCTCTCTCATTTCTTCCTGGTGAGCCTGCCTAGAGGTTTGTCACTTTTGTTTATCTTTAAAAAAAAACGAGCTCTTGGTTTTATTGATCTTTTCTATTGTTTTTTGATCTCTATTTTATTTATTCCCTCTCTGATCTTTATTATTTCCTTCCTTATGTTGACTTTGAGCTTTGTTTGTTTTTCTTCTAATTCTTTTAGGTGATAAGTTTTTATTTGAGATTTTCCTTGTTTCTTGAGGAAGGCTTGTATCACTATGAACTTCCCTCTTAGAACTGCTTTTACTGTATCCCATAAATCTTGTAAGGTTGTTTTCATTGTTGTTTGTCTTCAGGTATTTTCTTATTTCTTCTTTGATTTCGTCATTGACTCACTGTTTTTTTTTAAAAGCATGTTGTTTAGTCTCCATATCTTTGTGTTTTTCTCATTTTTCTTTCTGTAGCTGATATCTAGTTTTATACCATTATGTTCATAAAAGATGCTTGATATAATTTCTACCGCCTTAAATTTTTCAAGGCTGTTTTGTGTCCTAGTATGTGGTCCAGCCAAGAGAACATTCCATGCATGCTTAAAAAGAATGTGTTTTCTGCTTTTTTTTTTGGATGTAGTGTCCTATACATATCAGTTAAGTCCAGCAGGTCATTTTTGTCATTTAGGACCTATGTTGCCTTATTGATTTTCTGTCTGTATGATCAGTCCTTTGATGTCAGTGGGCTGTTAAAGTCTCCTACTGTTACTGTGTTCCTGTCAATTGCTCCCTTCATGTCTGTTAGTATTTGCTTTATATATTTAGGTGCTCCTGTATTGGATGTGTATATGTTAACAAGTGTAATATCCTTTTCTTGTATTGATCCCTTTATTATTATATAATACCCTCCTTTGTCTTTTCTTATGGCCTTTGTTTGATTTTTTTAAAAATTTATTTTATTTATTTTTGGGTGCGTTGGATCTTTGTTGCTGTGGGCGGGCTTTCTCTTGTTGCAGCGAGCAGGCTTCTCATTGCAGTGGCTTCTCTTGTTGCAGAGCACAGGTTCTAGGCGCACGGGCTTCAGTGGTTGTGGCTCGTGGGCTCTAGAGCACAGGCTTAGTAGTTGTGGTGCGCGGGCTTAGTTGCTCCGCGGCATGTGGGATCTTCCCGGACCAGGGCTCGAACCCATGTCCCCTGCATTGGCAGGTAGATTCCCAACCACTGCGCCACCAGGGAAGCCCCTGGCCTTTGTTTTAAAGTCTATTTTGTCTGATATGAGTATTGCTACCCCCAGCTTCTTGTCATTTCCATTTGTATGAAATATATTTTTCCACCCTTTCACTTTCAATCTGGTATGTCTTTTGCCCTGAAGTGAGTCTCTTTTAGGCAGCATATTGCAGTTTCTCGTTATTTTATACAATAGCCACCCTATGTCTTTTGATTAGAGCATTTAGTCCATTGACATTTAAGGTAATTATTGATATGTATGTACTTATTGCCATTTTATTCCTTGTTTTCCAGTTCTACTTTATTCTTTTTCATTTTGTGGTTTGGTGAGTTTCTTTTGTAGTATGCTTGAGTTCCTTTCTTTTTGCTTTTTTGTGAATCTGTTGTATGTTTTTGATTTGTGGTTACCATGGGGTTCATGTATGTTGATCCATAACTATATCTACTTGCTTTAAACTAAGTTATTCAAGTCCAAACACATTCTAAAAGATCTACATTTTTACTCCCCTCCTCCACATTTTGTGATTTTGATCACAAAATGTGGAGGAGGGGAGTAAGAACTATATAAGCAGTAAAAGAATAAGCATGAAGATGTAAAATAGTAGTTATAATCGCTTTTACATTTTCTGTTTGTTTTTTAATCTATGTACTGATTTATTTAAGTGATCTTCAATCCTTACTTTATATTTGCCTTTCCTGTTGGTATTTTCCCTTTCCTATAGATTCTTTTTTTCCATTTAGAGAAGACCCTTCAGTATTTCTTATAGTGTAGGTTTAGTATTGCTGAATTTTTTTAGTTTTTGCTTGTCTGAGAAATTCCCTGTTTCTCCTTCTATTCTAAGTGATAGTCTTGTAGGGTAGAGTATCACCGGTTGCAGGTTTTACCCTTTCAGGAATTTGTATGTGTTATGCCACTCCCTTCTGGTCTGCAGAGTTTCTGCAGAGAAATCAGCTTAGGATGTTAGGGGGGGTTCCCTTGTAACTGACTCTGTTTTTCTCTCATTACCTTTAGAATCCTCTCTTTATCTTTAACTTTTGCCATTTTAACTATGACATGTCTTGGTGTGGGTCTCTTTGGGTTCATCTTGTTTGGGAGCCTCCATGCTTCCTGTACCTGGATATCTGTTTCCTTCTTCAGGTTTGGGAAGTTTTCAGCCATAATTTCTTTAAGTACATTTTTGATCCCCTTCTCTCTTTTTTCTCCTTCTGGAACCCCTGTTATGTGTAGGTTGGCCTGTTCTATATTATCCCATAGATCTCCTATGTTGCTTTCATGTTTTTAAATTTTTCATTCTGTCTGCTGTTCTGATTGGGTGATTTCCATTATTCCATCTTACAGATCACTTTTTCGTTCTTCTGTGTCATTTAGTTGTCTATTCATTGCTTCTGGATTGTTTTTCATCTACGAAATTGAATTATCTATTTTTGATTGGTTCATCTTTAGGGTTTCTAGTTCCTTCTTAACGTGTTCTGTGTTTATAGCAATAATCTGTCTTAATTCAGTTAGTATTTTTATTACCAACTTTTTAGACTCAGGGTCTGGTAGACTGATGAACTCTGTTTCATTATTTATTCTTTCAGGGAATTCCTCTTACTCTTTTAATTGGTGCTACTTCCCCTGCCTTTTCATTTTACTTAACTTTCTCTGTCTCTATGAACTTAGGAGAAAGTTATCTATTTTGGTCTTGGAGGGGTGTTTTTATGTGGGAGCACCCCTGTGTAGACTGTGTGTGTCCAAAGTCTTGGGTGTAGGGGCTGGTTTTGATATGGATGCCAGCCACGTCTTCCCTCAGAGTGTGCTGGCCACTATCACGTTGATAGGGGGTGTGGTTGGCGTCGGAGGATCTCAAGCCTGTGCAGGGTGTGAGGCAGGACTTCCTCTCTGCCCTGTGGCTATCACCACACTGATAAGGGTGGAGTCTGACCCCCAGTTGCTGGAATAGAAGCTCTGAGGGTCAGGCTCAATCAGGCTCCCTTCCCCTTGAGTGTGTGCTCTGCCCCAAAGGAGGGGAGTGCTGAAGCAAGTGAGGCCTGTGAGCTCACAGAGGACCGAGGTGGTGTCTGTGTAGGTGTCTATGGCTCTGCTCACACACAGCCCAAGGTTCCATCTCTTCCCCCATTGTGTTTGTCCCAGATCTAGTGCAGGGCTGTGGCTTGGAGTGGGTGGGGCCGGAGCGTTTGCTAAGCTGGGGCTGGAGGTTGGGGCGTGTGGCTGCAGGAATTGAGGTGGCTGTTCTGCCACCAGAGGTCTGGGCTGCCTCAGTGGCAGTCTTCCCAGGACCTGTCTGCCCCAGATCCAGTGCCAAGTTGTGGAGTGGGTGAGGCCAGGGTGCTTGCTCGGGCGGGAGACTGACTGCAGCGTGTTCCAGTGGCACCGCCTGTGCATGTGCTTACAGTGGCCGTTGCTGCCCCACCTGGATCACCCCTGGCCCCCCGGACTGTCTATGCATAGCAAGAATGAATCTTTTCCCAGGGTCCGGCTGGCTGAGCTCTTGTGCCAAGATGTGCTGTGGAGTGAGCAGGTCCCAGGGTGTTCACCCTGCTTGGATTGGGGAGTGCAGCGAGGTGGCAGCCACCGGTGCAAGGCCCTCTCCACCCTGATTGTTGGCAAGCCAGCATGCGTGCACTCCTCAAGAACAGAGTTTAGGCTTCTCCAGCCCTTCTGTCTGCCTCAGCAGTTTTCCCAGCAACCAACCAGGCTTGTCTCCTCTGTGTAGGACCCCGGGACTGGGATGCCCAGTCTGTGGCTCAGCCTGCTCACACCCCAGGAGGAGGGTTCACCTTATCTTATCGGACCTTATCGGACCTTATCTTCCTTTCAGATCCCTTCCAGGGGCGGAGGCCCCAACTTTATGCTTCTTTTCCATCCTACCCAGTTATGTGGAAATCTTTCTTGCCATTTCAGTTGTATAGGAGTTCTTTTGCCAAGTTTCCAGTTGGTTTTCTGTGTGAATTGTTCCACATGTAGATGTATTTTGATATGTTTGTCAGGGGAGGTGAGCTCCATGTCCTCCTACTTTGGCATCTTGATCTGACCTCCATATAGTTTTTAAAGTAATAATATATTGGCATAATTTTGGGCAGTTGACATCATCATAAAATTTTCATTATGCATTTTGGGAACAAAGACTTATACTTTCATACCCAAAGATTTTTTTTTCAGTAACATCACTAGTGACATCTAGCGAAGCATTTTTTACCTAAGGAATTCATTTATTCAACAAATACTGAATGCCTGTTCCGTGCCAGGCACCCACCAGTGGTCTTTGTCTGCCAATTTTAGATACCATGGGGAAGATCCTGCATCCTGTCTTTGGCTGGGACCTATAGAACAGCCATATGGACACTAGGAATCTCCTGCTTATTTGGTGTTTATTCCTTCACCTATTCAGACATTGGACCAGAAGAATCGTGGGAAGGCTGACAAATCCTCCACCATCTATTCCTTTACTGAGATGGGGTTGTCTGCCTGGTCTCAACCTTACCCTTTCTGAATTCATTGCCTGCCTCCCTCCCACCAAACTTTGTCCTGCTCCTATTTGAGAACAGGGGCAGGTGGTTGGACGACAGTCAGTTACATTCTGTGTGAAAGCACAGTATCATGAGATTACTGGGCCACCAGATACTCCTGGGATTTTGCACCCATGTTGTTCATATGTTGTTTATTATGTCATATATGTCTGTATGAGGTATATGTGGATTTCAGGATTTTTCTACTCAAATATTTAGAGGATCTTTATTGATGGTAATTAAATATTTAAAGAACATAAAGTATTCTCTATGCATGTTTTATTAAAGAATCATGTCTTAATTTTGAGTAGGTTTTGTTCTAAGTCAGGAACACAGACTATTATGCTTTTAAGTCTCCAGTACAGAGGTTAAGGAGTTAATCTGGGGCATGCTAAAACTGGGATGGAACATCCCTGACAGTTTTTAGCGCATTGCACTGGATTTAAATAGGGTCTTTGATCCCCAGTTTCTTAGGTGTGGCAGTGTTAATTGGTGGTGAGGTAATAAGGGGCTAGCATCACTTTGACATAGCCTTTTTATACCCGTAACTTAGTTGCTTCACTAATTAGAAGAGTAACCTAAAAAAATTGGCCTTTAAGTGGATTGTAATGTTTAAAGTCACTTTGGAACTGTGGCTTTGTATGACAGCCTATGTAAATTCACCCAAGAAGTAGGAAACTCAGATTACTTGTGTTTCAAGTTTTTTAACAGGTAGCAAAATTTAAAGAATTTTATCTTTGAATGAAAGTAATAGCAGATGGTCAACAAATGAAGTGTTTTGTGATTTTGTGGATATTTTTGTCCTTTAGATATGATGTTGAGCCACTGTATTTTCAGCATGTTTTGAGAAATAGTGATTAAGGAGCCAGAAGTTTGAATCTTGATCTTAGATCCCTGAATGAACCTATTGGAGAATTAGAAAACAATTCCTGGATATCTTTTGAATCCACTCATTTCTTTTTTCTGCTGCTACATTTGTCATCCAAGCCACCACTCCATTTCTCTTGGACTGTTGCTGTGGCCTGGTGACAGTCCCCCTTCCTTCTCCCACTTAGGTCACTTCATCATCCTACTTGAACCTTCTGATAGGTAATCACATCCTAGAACTTCAGTGTTCTCACCATGACCTACAGCCTACATGATCGGGCTCCTGCCTGCCCCTCTCATCTCCTCTCTTGCACCAGGCTCCCTGCTTTGCTATGGTGCTTTGTGGCAGGCTTATTCTCCCTAAGAGTCCTTGCCAGTCTCTTTGTCTAGAATGCCCTTCCTCCAGGAATTCCTATAGTCTGCTTCCTCACTTTATTTCCTCACTTCCTCCCTAATTAAATGTCACCTCCTCAGAGAGCCTTCTCTGACTACCCTATTTAAAATTGGATTCCTGTTCCCTTCCCTTGCTCTACTTTGTATCTTGCAGTGGCACTTAACCACTACCTCATGTACTCCATCTGTTCGTTTATCTCCATCACTAGACTGTCAGCTTCCTGAGGCCAGGGATTTTTTGTCTCCGTCACCACAGTGTCTAACCATGACATGCACTCAAGAGTGCTCATAAGTTCTGTCCGTGTTAAGTATTGTGCCCCCAAATTAAACACACGTGACACGATGTGTAGTTGTAGTGCTTACAGATGTGTAAAAGTATCTGGATAGATGAATGAGTGGATAGGTGCAGCTTTTTCTTCTGCACTCTCTTCCTCACTCCCATCCTGCAGTGTCTCTCCTACACAGTTCCTGAGCACCTAGTTGTAGTAAAGGCCTCTCTTAAGGCAGTAACGATTTGTGTGGTGTAGTTAGGCAGCTCACCCAGCAGAGGGCAGTAGAGCTAGGGCTATAGTAAGAACAACTTGAGTTCGCTTTTTACCTTCATTTTGCACAGAATCAAGAAGTTCAGTTTAGTTAGTAGCCTTTTTCTTTTAGTTAGGTTGGAGTGGTCCTAAGATGAAAATCAGTCCCTCCTTTTGAATAAGATTATTTCCAATCTTTAATTGGTATCTTAATTTAAAATATTAAAGGGTTATGATAGGATGAGGAATTTTTTTAAAATGTTCTATGTAGTTTTTAAAAGGTGATATAGAATGAATAAAAGGAATTACTTTTTAAAAATACATAAATATAAAACTTCTGATTTGGGACAGAATGGTAGATTTGATACAGGTCTTTAACCTACTCTGTGACAATCCAAAGAAAAATGAATGTTCTTTTTCTTCAGAGTTGTATTTTAATGTACAAAGCATACCAGATACGCCTACTGGTGGTGGTTCTGCAATCAGCTGCCCTTATGATGTGCTTCACCAGAATTGAGATGGGCCAAACTGAGGAAGGCACGTGGGAGTTCACCTGGTAGGAATTGGAGGTGTTTGTGCATAGGTGTGAAAGGCGACACATACCCAACAACATTTGCATTGATGTGCCAGCTATAGAATGAGGGCCAGTCTATGAGCCTGATATGTATCTTGTTTTATAATTTCAGCACGTTCATCTCAGCATATTTAATCCTTAAGATGTAAACCCTCTAGCTATTAAAATTTTTTAAAAAACTATGCAGATGACTACTCATATAGGCTGCAGCGGTTTGACCGATTTTTTTTTTCTATACCAAGCACATATTTATATCTAGAGGTAAGTTGTGCTTTAGAGTAGTTTCTCAAACTCTAACATAATATGAATTATCTGGTGATCTTAAACTTCCAATTGGAATTCAGTTCTGTGTGGCACCTGAGATCTGCATTTTGTAACAGCCTCCAGGTGATGCAGCGCTGCCTACCCATCGACCACATTGTGAGGAGCAAGCCTTTACACCTAGTCTCTAAGCTATGAAGGCGGTTTAAGGCTCCTGCAAAAGCATCCTTGTGGCCACTGCTACTGGCGTAAGAGGTTAGATACATCCTCACTCTTCTACTGAGTCTTGAATGTGTTCTGAAGCACAGTGAGTGCGTAAGATAAATACAGTGAAATACGTTAAGTAGTAAAATTCAAATTCCAAAGTAAATAGCTTTATTTTCAAAATGATTTTAATTGTATTCAGTAACGTGGTATTTAAAGAGGGGTTTACAATTAAATAATAACTTTTCTGTTTGATTCTTATACTTTAATAGGAGAAAAGCTCTTAACTAGTTTATGTTGATTACTGCTCCAATTTGATCTTTTGCTTCTCAAAAATCAAACGAATTGTGGAACTTCATATACAAACATGCATATTCATTTTTATATTTTTGGTGGAGAGAAAAAAAGACAAAACCCAGTTTATCAAAAAAGCAAATATACTTAACAAAGATTTATACATTATGTGTGAAGGAAACTATCCTAGACAATTTGTCTTTAAAAAAATAATACAATTTAACATAGTTGTGCAATATATACATTTACATTTTGACTTTATCTGCCAAAATAAATCAGGTACGAGTGAAACCATTTTTTAATATTTACATAATGGCTACATTTTCATTCTTTAAGGTTCAAAGAAATAGTTAACATTTTTGATTCAAACTTTACCCCCATGTATACCTTTTACCTCTAGAGGTCTAGTCTTTCGAATTGATTGAAATGAGTATGTGTTAATGAGGGCATAGTCCTAAAAGCTGTGTATATAAATTGTATTAATGATGGACCAGGGAGCTCAGTTTGAGGAATCCTGTTTAATGCTTTCTGCTTAATGATGTCTTCATTTATGGGACTGTCATATTACATTACAGCTGTATATCAGAATAGATTATAAAATTATACTTTCTATAATAACTTGTAGTATAATCACTTGTGTGATTATGATAAATTGGTTTTAGTTTTTTCACATTTAATAACTTTTACTATTTTATAAAAATAGCACAGCCAGCTAGGAATCTGTCCAGTTCTCATTTTGCTGCTAAAATGGACAATGCACAAATTCAAATCTCAATGCAATTTTTTCACAGGCTGTTTCTACTTTAGTATTTTGTAAGGCTTGTGTGGCAGCCATGCATGAAGCAACTCAATTCTTATCACATTCTATACATACTGTCTATACACCATTTATGAAATGGAAACTTTGAAAGATGACATCTTTTAAGCCCCATATTCTACTTACTTTTAAAATAAAAGTATGGCTGAATAGGAATACAGAGCTTTTTTTCTCAAATAATTTTTTAATTTCTTGGATGAATACTCAACCTTTGCTTAAAAGTGCTTGAGAAATACTCCTCACTAGAGCCTCTGCCTCAAATCTGTGATCTGGTAACAGAAGTTGTATATTTAGGCCACTTGCTTAGCGCAGTGGTTCTCAGTCGGGGTGATTTTGCCTTCCAGGAGGCGTTAGCCAATGTCTGGGGACATTTTTTGATCACCACGATGAGTGGGAGAGGGAGCGTCTGGTATTCGTAGGTAGAGGCCATAGCCAGAGGCTAGGGATGCTGCTGAACATCCCACAATGCACAGGTCAGGCCCCCCGCAAGAAAGAATTACCTGGCTCCAAATGTCAGTAGTGCCCAGGCTGAGAAACCCTGCCCCAGTGTGATAAATGGTGCAGAGACAAATGGCTAATTTTTTAGTTTATAGTAATCCAACTCCTTCATGGAGACAGTGCCGTCAAGGCGGCTCATCCAAGGCAAGGCTTGCCAGAGCTCGCAAGCTCCCTGTGAGTACGTGACCTCAGATTAGTGTTTATCCTCTAAGGTAGGGGAGGCAGAGTAAAATAAAAGGATGACTTCCAATGTTCTCAGTATATTACATCAAAAGACTAGTAAATATATACAGCAGTTACCCAGTTTATTAAATAGTCTTTATCAACTTAATGACCAGTTTCCCCTCCACTCTTTTTTTAAAACAATTTTTCTTGGAATGAAACAAACAAACAGTGTTTGAATCCAGCTGTTAAAAGAATTGGGCTCTAGCACATGTAACTAGAGAATACCATGCTGTTTTTGCTGTAAACCCCTGATGTTTTATTTCTAATTGGTTTTTTTTTTTCCCCTTTGTCAGATGCAAAATAAATTCTGTAACTGTGCAGACAGCCCTGCACTGCCATCACAGGCACCCACGGGCAAATACCTGTTTTCCTCCGAATTCTTTTCAGTGTCAGATTCTTGGAGGATTGTCTATTTGTGTTACAAGAAACCCAGATAGTAGGTTTTTAAAGTTAAAAGCGTCGCTGCTGAGCTCCGCCCCAGTCTCCCCATTTTATAACAAGGACACTGAAGTTTACAGAGGCTAAGTGACTTGTCTGAAGCTTTAGGTATGTACTTTCTGACATAACTGCCCTTTTTCTCCCAGTCCCTCCTAGAGGATAGGTGGGCTCAGAAGTAGAGAAAAGAAGGTGCAGAAGGAGAAATGGGTCGTGGTCCTCACGGTGGCCCATTTACATCATAAGGACCGGGATGCTTGTAAAATACAGGTCACCAGGCTTCATCCCGATCTGATGACTAAATAAGACTCTCAGGAATTGGGGCATGAGACTCTACCTGGTGAGCAAACTCCCAGGTCCTTCTTCTGGAAGTGTAAGTAAGTTCTCCAGAAACAGACAAGCACAGCAGGTGCACATGCTGATTTGGTGGTTTCTAATGTCTCCTTGTAATTTCTTGCAAATTCCTGAGATGTTTATACTTTACCTTGTTTACCCTGCCTGAAATCTCAACAATTAGAAATTCACTTGGGCTTTTCTTGCATATTTAGCAATAAATGAAAATAGCTCCCTGAAGTTAAGGGGATTATACAGTAATTCACGCAAGTGTGGAAGTGAAACAGATGACTTCCTTCTCACACCTGGAGAAGAGCAGCTGCCCTGGGAGTGGGAGATTTGGACAAGGAGGGTGGAAAACTCTGGACTCCTGGAGAGGAAGGCGGGCAGCAGCAGGCATCGAGAATATGGGGGCACCAGGAGGTGGGAGGGGTTCATTGTGGAAGGAGGAAGGATTCCAAAGAAATTACTCATCTTTCAAAAATTCACAAGGTCCCCCCCCCCCCCACACAGCCCGTCAGGGTCAGCCAGTTAGTTATGCATCCTAAAGGAGAAAAATTTCCTCCTTCTTCCAGGCGGGGCCTCCAGCAGACAAGATTCTACCATAAATGATGTTACAGAGTTTAAACAAAAATTTGTGCTTTGGCCTCTAAATCCTTTAGGCCCCTAACCCTCCCCCAGTGAAATGGAGATTTCCTCTGCAGGAGGGCCCTACCAGTCATCAAGCATGTTTTGATAAGTACATCATCGCAAGAAAGGGACTCTAAGGAAGCAGCTGTGGGCTGACAACAGCAAATTTTACCTAGTGTATAAACAAAATTATCACTGAAAATATCCTCTGTGGCAACTTCGGATGAGCAGCATTAAGTTGAAGACCTGTGGGGTTTTTTTTGTCCATCAGCATCAATATATCCAAGCTAATTATATACCTGTACCGAGTACTTCCACTTCCGTTGTTTAAAAACAATCATTTTAAATGATTGAGTTTTTGCCCAAAAAATGTTCTGAGAAAGGTTATATCTTTCTTTAAGAGTTCTCCTGTTTGGAAGCATTTCATGTAAACTCTGGACCAGCCAACGTAAAGATCACTTTCCCCCCAACATAAAATAGTCTTTTACCCTTTATACTCTGCCCTCCCAAATCCCTCACAGTTTCTTTCCAAACTGACCTGCAGTTCTAGTTTACCTATTACATTATTAAGTTACACTGGGATTTTTAAGAAACCCATTCATGCGAATAGTAAACCTGGCTGTGATGCTGCCCCTTCCCACTGCAGTGGGAACTGCTGGGTGATTCAGCTGTTGAGTTCTGTGGTCTCATCAATTTCATCTGGATTTTTGGTCATTTTTTCATATTTTCTTTTGAAGAATCCAAGCTGTAAGATGATGATGTAAAAACATTACCACTTCTGGCTTATTTTGAATGGACCCAGACTCCCCCCTCCTTGCACCTCTGGGAATCATGGGGAGCTGGAGAGGTCAGTGTGCAGAGTATTGACCTGGCATCAGCCCTTCAGTGAGGAGATTAATACCCAGAGTTGCAATGAATTGCATAAAGTTAAATTTTTCAGGGTCTGCTTACTTGCAGGTGAACAAAACATTCAGTGTCTGGATGAAAGAAGGTTGGAGAAAAGGGACCAAGACCAAGGAGATAAAATCCTTACTGACTGTTTTCAAGAACATGAGTGAGAATTTGCAAATAAACTTGCATTTCCTTTTTTCTTATGATAGACGAGGAGGTACCATATAAAACAGGTTTGCTCTGTGATAAGGAAATTC